GGGGGGGGGGGCACCGGAAGGCTATCGGATTTTTGAGGGGATTAAAAATATTTTTAAAATTAAAATAAATTGCTTAAATTAGCAGGTCGCGCATATTAGAAGACTTGAAGACTTTTTTTTTTGGAGTGATTCGCTAAATTAAAATTTTTTTATTTCCCTTCAACTTTTTACATCCAAACTTGGGACCGTTATAATCAGTTTTAAAAATGATAAAATTTTGATCGTGAATTAGTTTATTTTTTTTCCTTCACAAAATGACTTCCAGTCATCAAATCACTTAATTTCTGCTAGAACGGTTTTAATATATTAACTAAATACGAGATATTAAAAATCTCATTGCACAAAAAAAAATTAAATCTCTTTAAGATCGAATCAATATATAATTAAGCTAATATCAATAAGAAATTAAATTGGAAGTGATTTGAATGGACGACCAATATTGAATCACTTGATCGTGAGTCGTTTATTGGGCATTTAAATGTCTTAGTAATTTCAGAATTTGGCGATCTTGAGCTCGTTGGATTTGTCTCGTCTGTTAGAATAGGAAAAATTATATGTTTATATATTTTGTATATTTTCCTTAGACCAATGACCTTTGTACACATATGCACCTAGCATAGGATTCCTTTATATATATTGGCTTGTATCGTTCTGAGAACATTAAGAAAATTAATTCAAGATTTACTTTCTACTATCTTCTTCTTCTTTCCTGTTGTCTTGATCTGCGTCTTGCGTTTCATCATGGTATCAGATTAAGGTTCGATTCTTCTACATCTCCATGGCGACTTCGGCTTCTTCCTCAAACACTGAAGCTCCATCAGGTGTAATACATTCCGCTCAACTCATTTCTCCATCCCTGAAATTTGTGATATCAAATCTCAAATTTCTCGTTTCGAATTCCTTAACTCCGGACAACTACCCCCTATGGAGTAATCAGATTGTCAAGATTCTCCGGGCAAATGGCTTCGCCACCTTTCTTGAACACAAACCAGGCTCCGATTCTACGACAGAGACGTCCTCCACTACTAGTAAAGATCTAAATCAAGATCCCTCTCCATGGTCTGTTATTGACCAAAACCTGGCAGCCGCCCTGTGCTCGACGATCTCTCCGACGGTTCTTCCATACGTGATTCACCTCGACTCTACACACGACATATGGCACACTACAAATTCATTTTCAATCCACAAATAGGTCCAAAGTTATACAGCTCAAGAATGAGCTCCACATCGTGTCCATGAAAAATCTGTCAATGTCTCAGTACCTAACCGAGATCAAGAAGATCGTCGACCAAATCGCATCGGCGGGATCCACTGTGGACTCTGAAGACGTAATTATTTACATCTTGAATGGGCTTCCCCCTTCGTATCAGCCATTCACAGCATCCATCCGCACTATGCAAACATCTCACTCTGGACAATCTCTACGCACTTCTTATCAGTGAGGAAATCCACCTACAAACAGCCGCTCTGAAGTTCTCTACCACCACGGACACCCAAACGGCTCTCCACACGACGAACTATCGTGGTCGTCGCGACAGATCCAAGCTGGCTTCAGAAAGAATTTCGACGACTTGATCTGCATCTTCTTCCAGCGTCACATGCCAAATCTGCAAAAAGAATGGGCACTCCGCGGACGCTTGTTGGCATCGTCTCAACCCAAATTACATTCCTCCATCCAACTCCAACAAGAACAGCTAGGCACTTATAACAAATACAGACACCAACAATTCAGTGGATTGGTATCTAGATTCCGGCGCATCCACACACATGACCAATTCATTGGACAACCTTGATACATCAAATGCCTACAATGGTACAGATAAAGTTACCGTAGGGGATGGAAGATCAGTTCCCATAGCTCACTCGGGCACGGGACTACTTCCAACCCCTTCTCGTAAGCTATTTCTATCACACATCCTCTATACGCCTGATATCTCTCATAACTTACTTTCAGTATCAAATCTCGTTAAAGATAACAATATTTCTATCATATTTGACTCAAATGGTTTCATTTTTAAGGATTTGATGACCAATAGGGTTCTTCTCAAAGGCCCTTGTAGAGACGGGTTATACAAAATTGCCCCAAGCAACCAGCACTCTCATCACACTGGTCTCTCGGCGGCAAGAACATCTGACTTCCACTGGCACAACAGGCTCAGTCATCCCAGCCATAAAATTATGCAACACATCTCCAAGAATAATCAAGATTTACACATTTCTTCTATACCCTCCACATGTAATTCTTGCAAGCAATGTAAAGGACACAAATTACAATTTCATGTTTCTGAAAATAGAAAACATTCTTCGTTAGAACTCATTCACTCGGATGTTTGGGGACCTTCTCCGGTTCCCTCTCATCAAGGTTTTAGATATTACGTAATATTTGTAGATGATTACTCGCGTTTTATCTGGTTATTTCCCGTTACGCGTAAATCTGATATTACCAATATATTCATTCATTTTGTTACATCTATTGAGCGACAGACCTCTTACAAAATCAAGGCCATTCGCACCGACGGCGGCGGCGAATACGTCAATCAACACTTTCATAAATTCACCCAAAACAAGGGCATCCTTCATCAAACTTCTTTCCCTTACACTCCGGAGCAGAACGGGTTAGCAGAAAGGAAGCATCGTCACATAATGGAAACCGCCTGTGTTTTGGCTTGAAGCATCTACCACCGCAACTTATCTCATAAATAAGACTCCCGCAGCTACCACAAATTTACTGTCACCAATTCAACTGATGTTCAATATAAAACCCTCCTACAGCCATCTTCGGACTTTTGGCTGTACTTGCTTTCCTCTCAAACCCTCTCACACGCGTACTAAATTAACACCTACATCTGATTCATGTATATTCTTGGGGTACGCAGAAAACCAAAAAGGATATAAGTGTTATACGCCTACCACATATCGTATTACCATTTCTCGTAATGTCCAATTCAATGATACATCGTTTCCTTTCAAAAATATCCCACATAAGGCTCCCCCAGCCGAAACCACCACTAATCCGTCTATGCTCATTCCTATTTCCACAATACATACCGCACCATCTTCACAGAACCTGGCTCTGCCTACTACTCCCATTATCTCCGTGAGTACAGACAAAAATCAATCCGTTCACACCACTGACAATACTGTTACTTCTTGTTCTCAGGTTCCTCCTGTTCATACGGTGGCCAAACACCCTATGATAACCAGAAGACAAACTAGCAATCTCAAGCCGGCCCAGCGTCTTAATTTACTTCACCATACCGAAGACACAAAATCATCATCCATCTCCGACCCTACAACATATAAAGAAGCTTGCAAATCAGTAGAATGGAGAAAGGCCATGGCCGACGAATTCTTCGCCCTTCAAAAACAGGGCACATGGCAACTAGTTCCTCTTCCTCCCAATGCACAACCCCTTGGCTCAAAATGGACATACCGCACAAAACTAAACTCAGACGGATCCATAGCTCGATTCAAAGCAAGATTAGTATCTCAAGGTAACAGACAGGAATACGGCTTGGATTACAATGACACTTTCAGTCCGGTTGCAAAATTACCCACGATACGGATACTCTTCGCCATCGCTATCTTTCACCAATGGACAGTCCAACAGCTCGACGTCACTAATGCTTTTCTTCATGGAGATCTCTCCGAGACAGTATACATGCGTCAACCAAAAGGCTTTGAGGACGCATCACAACCGGACCATGTATGTCTTCTTCGGAAAGCAATCTAAGGCCTCAAACAGGCCTCGAGGCAATGGTACACAACGTTCACCAGCTACCTACTTAGCCTCGGATTCAAGCATGGACAATCCGATCAATCTTTACTCACAATGCATCACGGAAAAACTCAAATATATCTCGTAGTTTACGTTGACGACATCCTACTCACCGACAACGATCCTAAGGCCATTTCGGAGCTTCTCCAGAAACTGCACTCAAGATTCACCATGAAGAATTTGGGCTTGGCAAATCACTTTCTTGGAATTAAAATCACATCCACTACAGATAAGTACCATCTATCGCAAAGCTCCTATGCTAGTTCAATTCTACAGCTAGCGAATCTCACACATTGTAATCACCTCGCTAACCCTTCTTGCACTAAAATCACGTCTCCAACAGTTGAAGATCAACCTTGCTTCAACCAAGGAACCTACCGGCAACTCATTGGATCACTTCAATACTTGATGCTGACTCGGCCAGATATCACGTTCACAGTCAACATGCTTTCACAGCATATGCACGATCCTGCCGCCATTCATGCATACATGTTAAAGCGTCTCCTTCATTACATAAAGGGGAAAATCGATCTCGGTATTCCTATCACGAGATCAACTCTTATCCTCCGAACTTTCTCGGACGCCGACTGGGTGGCCGATCCGATCTCCAGAAAATCAATTTTCGGGTTTTGTACGTTTCTCGGCGACACTCTTGTTTCTTGGACAGTCAAGAAACAAACCACAGTCTTCAGATCCTCAACCAAATCAGAATACAGGGCACTCACAGCTGCCATGGCCAACACCATATGGATCAAACGGCTACTCTCAAACTTCTCCGTTCAGCACGGCACACCGATAGACATTTCTTGCGATAATGTTGCAACCCGTGACCCCGAGTTTGAGATTTTGATGATGCCAAATAATGAGTGTTTTGGAACTGCTTTTCATTGATTATTATTTTATTTGTTATTTTCCTTGAGCACTAACATTTCAGGAAGATCACAAGTGACTCAGGAAGAAAGGAAGACTCAAGACCGGGTAGATTAGGAGTATGAGTCAAACATTGTATTTTCCATTTATTGTACTTTTTACTTTATTGAGTCTGGCCACAAAATGCGTAAGAGTAAGAGCAACCATGCACACACACAGGGGGAGAGTTCTTTTTTAACTGCAAAATATAACTAAAATTCTTCTCTAGAGATCGTACTGTACGACTTTATTTCGTACCGTACGATCCAAGCTATGTGGGCAAATCTGTGAATAGATCGTACTGTACGACGTAGTTCGTACGGTACGATATGTTCAGATCCAAAACCCTAGCCGTGTTTTAATATTAAGCAAGTGTTTTTGCGCCGTTCGTACTGTACGAACATGTTCGTACTGTACGATATGTTTTTAATACTTACTTAAATTAACCCGTGATTAGTGCATGTAATCCGGGCCTAATCAAAATTTGAACATCGTACTGTACGAACTAGATCGTACCATACGATGAACAGAGACGACATCCGATCGTCCAGACCATCATCCTGTACGAATAGTATCTTGTTGAATCGTACCGTACGATATTATATCATACAGTACGAATTGTTTTTGTACTGTTCGTACATCTTCGTACCAGGACGACGGCTGTTTATGAAGATCGTACTGTACGATACCAGATCGTACTGTACGAACAGTAACGGCTACTTTTGAATTCAGAGGTTTTTGGAGCCTTTTTTTATATATCAATCAAGTTCTTTTTGAAAAAAAGATTGTTAGAGAGGGTGAACGTGATTAGAGAGAGATTCCAAGGGAGAAAACTCTAGAGAAATTCTTGAAGGTTGAGAGGAAGGAGGAGGTGAGCGTTGTGAGGGAGAAGAGGTGTGAGGGAGATCACACGGTTGCTCCAAGCTCGCTGCATCTTGCTCCTCCTGTGGCCCGAGAAGGATTTGAGGGAGGATCTCCAAGGGAAAGGCTCATCTACATCCGTTACCTCGAGGTTCTCTACCTTCTCCAGGAGGGAGAAAAACGAGAAGGTTCTCTGCCGTCGCCAGGAGGGCGAAAACAGAGTTTGGTCTTCCGCCACGCCGGGTTGGTGAAAGGGAGGTTTGTACAGGCTTCTCCGCCTTGCCAAGGGGGGCAAAAGGAGAACTATTTTTTATAGTGAAAATCCCGGAGTGGAGGACTCCGGGGAGTGGACGTAGGTCATATTTTGACCGAACCACTATAAAAATCTTGGTGTGTTTGTTCTTTATCATTGTTTACTTTTTGCTTGCACTTTAATTTTTCATATCTATTGCACGTGGTTTTTTGATAAAGCAAAATTGCATTGATCTTTATTTTAATATTTCAAAAAACAACAAAAAAATTAGAACTCTTGTTTAGGGTTAATTTTATTAAGAAAAAGACTTTTACAATTCACCCCCCCCCTCTTGTCGTTTAGTAATTTCAATTGGTATCAGAGCTTGTTTTTCAAAAATAGTGTTTTAGAAAACCTTGAAAAAACGATCATGTCGAATTTTGGTAATCGTAACACTGCGGAGGGTTATTCAATAACTCGTCCACCACTTTTTGATAACATACCGTTTGATTTTTGGAAAATTAGAATGTCTACATTTTTGCAATCTATAGATTACCGCATGTGGATGTTAGTTAAACTAAGCATATAGAAATCGACCAACGATTTATCAGAGATCACATTCAGCAAAACAACATTCGGCTATTACCCATTAACACCATTGATCAACTTGCAGATATTTTTACTAAGCCCCTAGCTACCAACAGATTCCAAACACTTCGCTCCAACCTGACAATTGCTTCAGAATTGTCAGTTTGCGGGGGAATGTTAGAATAGGAAAAATTATCTGTTTATATATTTTGTATATTTTCCTTAGACCAATGACCTCTGTACACGTATGCACCTAGCATAGGATTCCTTTATATATATTGGCTTGTATCGTTCTGAGAACATTAAGAAAATTAATTCAAGATTTACTTTCTACTATCTTCTTCTTCTTTCCTGTTGTCTTGATCTGCGTCTTGAGTTTCATCATCGTCTAGCCGCTCAATTCGACTATAAGCATGTTATGTTTGGAAACCAATTGATAATCCAAATTATGAACCTTCCAAATATGCTTCAGGTCTTTGAAGTGGAGTCATTTGGGTTCGGATTGAGTCGAATTTGGTGCCGTTGGGTTCGTATTTTTGATACGTTCAGTTCGACTATAAGTTTGCTGAAATCAGAGTTCAGATGGTCTCCGATTTAATTTCTGAAGTTTTCAACTTAGCCTTTATCTCTAAATTTCATATATATATATATATATATATTTCTTTTTTTTAGGGGGGCACGTGTTTCCTAATAATCTTAAAATACATTTAAATTTAAATTTAAATTAACAGATTAAGTGTTAACTAAAATTCAACTTTCATTTAATTGATTAATAATAAAATCAAATCTAAAACAATATTCACATTAACTAAATTTCATATATATATATATATATATATTTCTTTTTTTTAGGGGGGCACGTGTTTCCTAATAATCTTAAAATACATTTAAATTTAAATTTAAATTAACAGATTAAGTGTTAACTAAAATTCAACTTTCATTTAATTGATTAATAATAAAATCAAATCTAAAACAATATTCACATTAAAAAGACTATATAATTCACTAAAACTCAACTCCTAAGAGAGCTAACCAAAACACAAAACTAAAAGAAAGTCTCCAAAATTCTAATCTAAAACCAGCCCCTGGTGGATTTCAGTGAGAGAAATTTATGTACTAGAGTTGCAAATTTTTTATTAGCTCGTACCAATCGACAAACTGTTTTTTTTTAAGATTCCTCACTATTTTTAAGCTCTCATATCGATGGTTTCACATCCTGGAAATGCTGTAATGAAATAGTTAGTAATTAATGAAAGGCAATTATATTAGAAATAATTAAATGAATGTCTTCAAAAGGATTGCGTGAATTAGGGGTGGCAATATTCAACCCGACCCGAAAATCTGACCCAAAAATTTCGGGTTTGGGTTGACTCGAACCTGAAATGGGTCAGATTCGGGTTCAACAATTCGATCTGTTTCAAAAATCAAGTCGAGTTCGGTTGACCATTTGACCAGAAATTAACCCGTTGTAACCCATTTATGACCCAAATACCCGTTTTGATCGGGCAACCCAAGATTGATCCGTTTTTTACCAGAAAAGAAGAGATTGACCTGTTCTTAGACCCAAAAAATAGTAGTTTTTTTGTTGGAACCGGGTCATTCGGATTGGGTCGGATTGACTCGGACCTAAAACGGGTCGGATTTGGGTCCATGAAATTGACCCGTTTGCAAAAACAGGTCGGGTTGACCCGAACTCAAATAGTACCGGATCAGTTTCGGATTCGACCCGAAATTGACACCCTATCGGGAGTACTCAATACTTTACGTTAACAGGTTGTAATGGAAATTCATTGACTTTCAATTAATCTTTTGATGTATTATGTTAAATGAGATTTGACGGGATTAAATTTGTGTCATTATTAATGGAAAGGCTGTTATAAATAATTAAATGAAAAAGTGCAATTGGAATACAATAACAAAAATATGTAATGAAGCATGGCCTTCAACTTCCAATTTGGTGCTTTCCTTATTAACATCAAATGAAATAACAAGCAATATGAAAGAAAGCAAAATATTAATACAATTGGCCATAAAATGACGGTTTTAATTTCAGCAGAATCTTAAATGTGTTGTTAATGGCATTTAACTTGGATCCTCACTTCTGTGTATAATAATGATCTAATTTGAAGACCTGCAAATTTTTTGGAACTATTTAAATTCTATGGATCAAGAAACATTCATAAATATAGCTATGGGGAGAGAGAGATACTCACTAACCTGAGAGCACGGCCACTGAAGTGAAGACGCAGACTGAAAATTTTTCCTGCATAAGATATGAATTAACTGTCATTTGTAAAGGTACAGTCAATTAATTTATTCCAATTATTGAAGCACTTCATAGTCATATCACACCTATGAAGTGCTCCAATAAACACTTGTAAAGCGCTCGAAAAATATCCATATAACATAAATTTTCATGCATGATGGAAATTTCCCGCGAATCATCTACAAGTTATTAACAAGTCTTTAGTTATGTAGAAATTCAAACGATTATAACGATCAACATGGGCTGTCAGTTATAAGACCTCAGTAAAAGTTAATTGAGAGGTCCAAAGACCTCCGTGAGCCGGCAGCCAACCATCATTCTTCTCTTCGGCGTGGCCTTTGTCTTTTTTGTCCTCCTAGTCGCTATTCAGTTATTCTTCTCAGGTGTGTCGTAGTAACCAAAGAAACCCTATCTTTTAGATTTTAAATGATCCCCTCAAAATTTTTTCATCCTCAGTTTCAGAGAAGAAATATGATACAAAGATCGAGGAGATTAGCACACTCTCGGATTTCCAGTCACGAATTCAGCAATACATGGTATAGCTTGAAATTGTTTCTCCTTTCCATCGCTTATGCTTTTGGTGTACAATTATGTTCGAAGATTAGGATATAGGTTACTCTAAAGGACACCCTAGCTGGTGGAGAAGGAGAAGACATAACAGAAAGAAGGAAGAAACATAAAAGAATTGTATTATTCACATTCCAACAAGTACAGAGTCACAATAAATAAAAAAGCATACATGTGTGCTGTTACAAAGGAACAACAAAAGTAAAACAGTGCCAACATTATAGGTTCACTAATAACATGCCCCCTCAAAATGAGCATTCATTGGATGAATTTTCATTTTGTTACAAAGTGCAATGAACCTAGCTAAACGGAGGGGTTTAGTAAAAATGTCTGCAATCTGATCAATTGATCTGAGATGAACAATTGATATGTTGCCAAAGTTGAGATGCTCGCGAATGAAGTGATGGTCAATATCAATATGCTTTGTTCTTGCATGGAAGATAGGATTGTGAGCAAGAGTGATAACGGAGGTGTTGTCGTAGTGAATGGTGGTAGGTGAAGTTTAATAAATTTGAAGTTCCTTGACGAGATGATGAAGCAATAGAATGCCCGAGATGGCGGTAGAGTGTCCGATATTTTGCTTCAGTGGATGATTTTGCTATTGTGGATTGTTTCTTGGAGGACCAAGAAATGATATTATGACCAAGAAATGATATTATGACCAAGAAATGATATTATGACCAAGAAATGATATTATGACCAAGAAATGTACAAAACCCAAATATGGAGTTTCAATCTGATGAGTCTGCAGCCCAGTCTGCGTCTACGAAGGTGTGAAGTTGAAGATCTTTGCGAGTGATGGCTAGACCAGTGTGAGGTACCTTTAATGTAACATAGTAGACGTTTTAGAGCTTGAGAGTCTGTTATGGTGGGATTGTTCATATGTTGGCATATTGAGTTGATGGTGAATCCAATGTCGAGTCGTGTTATTGATAGGTGTTGTAGAGAGCCAGCTAGCTTGCAGTAAAGCTTAGGGTCCATGTATAGTTGACCATAGGTGTATTGATGCTTTGATTTAGGAGTGATTGGTGTAGGATAGGGTTTGCTTCGGTGAATCCTGCCATCTCAAGCAGGTTGTTGGCGTAGTGTTGTTGTTGTAGGAGAAAACCATTTGAGGTTTTGGTTACTTGAATTCCCAAGAATAGAGAGACGTCACCCATTTGCTTGAGTTTGAAAGTTGAATGCAGGTGAGTAAGTAGGCGGTTGATAATGTTGTTATCGTTACATGTAAGAAGAATATCATCGACATATATTAGGAAGTATAACTGAATGTTTTTACATTGGTATATAAGAAGGGAGGGATCAGAGCGACTAAACCAAAAGCCGAATTGAAGTAAGAAGTTTGTAAGTTTCTGGAACCATTGTCACGGAGCCAGTTTAAGTCCATAAAGAAACTTGTGAATCTTGTAGACGTGATTGGGTAGTTGAGAGTCGATGAATCTGGGCGGTTGCCACATGTAGACGTCTTCAGAAAGGTCGCCGTGGAGAAAGGCATTTGAGATGTCCAGTTGAAGGACATACCAGTTGCAATGGAGAGATAGAGTAAGTAGAATGCGTATGATTGGTATTTTGGCGACTGGACTAAATGTCTTGTTGTAGTTGATGCCAAATTATTGCGAGAAGCCTTGAGCCACTAGTTTGGCTTTGTATTTATCTACTTGTCTTGATTGGAGCATTTTTTTTTTTTTTTTTATTTTTTTTTTTTTTTTTGTAAGTCCATTTGCAACCAAGTACTGATTTATTGATGGGGTGAGGCACCAAGGACCAGGTTCCTTGTTGTTGTATGGTGAGAAATTTGGCAGACATAGCCAAACACCAGTGTTGATGTTTGACAACCTGAGAGTAGGTCGTTGGAGACTAGTTGAAGGGGCGGAGGAGACATGTTGAGAGGGGGTGTTCTTTGTTTTAAAGAACCGTTTCTGATTGCGGCCGTGAGGTGGGTTGGAGGCGGAGCAAAGAGCAAGTGTGCCCGTGAAGGAGAAGGTTTCTTTATGATGTTCTTGTTGAATGTGAATTTCCTCTCTACAAAGAAGCGAGTAAAGGGTATTAAGATCGATGGGAAGAAGAGAGGTTCTGATGGCGGTTTTAAAGGAATTATAAGTGGATGGGAGACCGTTTAGTATATAGAGAATGATGTCTTCAGGATTAACTGTAGAGCCTGAGGCAGCAATAGTATTGACGATTGCTTGATTTGCACTAGGTATTGCGGCATAGAGCAATTCTTTAGTTGGATGTGGTGTAACTCGTTCTTGAGTTGAAGAACTCGAGAACGGCTGGAGGATTGAAGGCGTCTTTCAAGAACGGTCCAAGCTTCATGAGCAGTGGAGCATGAAAGCACGTAGGGAAGGATTGAGGGGGAGATTGTAGAGAATAGGGCGGAATACAGATTCTTTTCGACAAGATGCCATAGAGTGAAGTCGAGATGTGAAGAATCGGTGGGGCAGGTTCAAGCACCGGTGAGATGTCCGGGGAATCCATTAGCCGTGAAATGTTTAAGTAGTTGAAGGCACCACATTGCGTAGGTATCGATGGTGAGTTGAGTTGGAACCAAGTTCTTGAGATTTGATATCAAGAACTTCAATGGCGTCGGCACAGTGAAGTCAACGAAGGATGAAGAGAGAGATGAGTTCGATAGGTGGGAGGTCGCCGAGTTTTGGTTTGCCATGGATCTCTCTGATACCATGAAGGACACCCTAGCTGGCGGAGAAGGAGAAGAAGATGGAATAGAAAGAATGAAGAAACATAAAAGAATTGTATTATTCACATTCCAACAGGTATAGATTCACAATAAATAAAAAACCATACATGTGTGTTGTTACAGAGGAACAACGTAAGTAAAGTAGTGCCAACAGTATAGGTTCACTAACATACTCTGTTGTTGCATAGAAAGAACTAAAATGTAAGGCTATGTGGTTTGAATTTAATCCATTTTTATAGAAGCAATTTATATAGAGGTTTATCAGGAAATAAATATGTGAAGCTTACTGTAAGGGTGGCTGCAATAACATGTTTTTTTGGCTTTTTGTATAAACAAGCATTAACAACTAGAGAGAGAGAGAGAGTGAGAGAGAGAGAGAGAGAGAGAGAGAGAGAGAGAGAGAGATCAGTCACGGGTGAGAGCTTGAGAACACGACCATAGAACGAAGGAAGCGGAGGCGCAGGAAAAAATCTTTTTTTGCGTCGGTTGTTAGGTTTTTAATGGGCTTATATATATAAAAGTTACAAAAAATTTTTAAAAAAAAAATCATCTGGCCAGCGGGGGCATGTGCCCCCAGTTTAAATTCATCTTGTTCTACATGTGATTTTGGAATGCTGACACTCAGATAATACGAAATAAAACAAACCAAAGTACTAATTGACATAAAGTACTAAATTCATGATTGGGGCTGACGAAATGATCATCATCAATCACGAGATTGGGTCCTCTGAATTTTTTTGGGGAAATTAAGGGCAAAGCCCATTCCATTATATAAAATAGTTACAAGTAAAGAGGATGGAGAGAGCAAACAGAAAGCAAATAAAGGATACCTATGGTGTTGAGCAAATGAACAAAAAGCTCAACGGAGGATGTAAAAAAGAAAGAGAACAAATCAAAAACACAAAAATAAGTAGGTGAATAGTATTTTGCTGTAGGTGATCTCGGATAAACTTCTGATCAATTTCGATGTGTTTGGTGCGTGCGTGAAAGACATGATTGTTGGCCAGTGCGATAACAGAGGTGTTGTCGCAGAACATATCGGTGGGAACTTGTTGCAAGAAGCCAAAATCGGATAGAAGGTGACGAATCCATATTATGTCCGCGGTGAGTGTAGCCAATGCACGACATTCAGATTCGGTGGAAGAGCGAGCTACGGTGGTTTGCTTTTTGACTGTCCATGCTATGATCGTATTGCCAAGAAACGAGCAGTATCCAAAAGTTGATTTGCGGGAATCCGGATCTCCAGCCCAATCGACATCTAAAAAAGAAGTAAGAATGAGATTAGATTTGGTAATAGGTATACCGAAGTCCAGGGTACCTTTTATATATCACAGTAGTCGTTTGGGCATGTAGAGGTGTTGATTCTGAGGATCGTGCATATGTTGAGATAATTGGTTAACGCTGTAGGCTATGTCGGGCCTAGAAAGATACTGTAGTGACCTCGTAATACGTCTATAGAGTGCAGGGTCAGAAAATTTCGGATCCAGCGAACAGATGCTGGGAAATTTAGTCACCATGGGATTCGCAAGAGCATTGAAACTGGTAAGTCCTATGAGCTGTAGAAGAGAGTAAGCATACTTTTTCTGAGAAAGAAAATAAGAATCCTTGTGTTTGTCTATTTGAATGTCGATAAAATCATGAACGGAACCTAGATGCTTCATAGAAAAATTATTACTGAGCTTAGTAATTACCGAAGAGATAGCATCATTATTATTTCCGGTAATCAATATATCATCTACATACACAAGTAAAAAGATACGAATATGGTTCTGCTGAAAAATAAGGAGGGACGGATCAGCGGCACTATGGGTAAAACCAATAGTGAGAAGAAAATTTGTGAAAGTGTTCTACCAGAGACGCGGTGCTTGCTTAAGATCGTATATGACTTTCTTGAGACAACAGACGTGATGAGGCTGAGCGGAATCTTCGAACCCTTTAGGTTGAGCCATAAAAACTTCCTCGGTTAGCTTTCCGTGAAGGAAAGCATTTGCAACATCGAGCTGATGAACTTGCCAGTTATGATATAAAGCAATAGCAAGCATAATTCTAATTATAGGGAGTTTAGCAACAGGGCTAAACGTTTCAGTGTAATCTAAACCAAATTCCTGATGATTTCCTTTAGCCACTAAACGGGCTTTGTATTTTGCTACGGAACTGTCGGCATTGAATTTAGTTATGAATGTCCATTTACACCCTAATATGGATGCACCATGAGGAGGTTGAGTGAGACTCCACGTCCCTTGTTGTTGAAGTGCAAAAAATTCTCTGGCCATAGCTGCCCGCCATTCCGGGTATTTGACTGCTTCCGTGTATGGAGTGGGAGATTCTGGTACAACAGATTTAGACGCCGAATGGGTATGGAGAAGATTCAAGCGAACCACTGGTTTTAACGTCCCAGTTTTGTTTCTGGTAATCATATGATGGTGCGGAGGTTGCTGCCGAGAGCGAGATTGAGAGGTAGGGATTTCGGTGTTATTGCTAAATGGAGAAGTAGGATGAGAATTTGTTATAGAAACACTCGGCAGATGTTCGGTAAGTATGGAACGAGAGGGTGCCGGAGGATAAATACCGGAATAAGAAATTTGGGAGGTAGATTGAGAGGTCTGTTATGTAGTTTGTGTGAACTAGTTGTCTAGTTACTGAATGGAAAGTAGGTTTCATCGAATGCTAAATTCCTGGACATGCTCACTTTGTTGGTGGATGGATCCAAGCATTTGTAGCCCTTATAGGTGTCAGAATACCCGATGAATATGGACAGCTTAGATTTGTTTTGCAGTTTATGATGTGTGTGAGGAGGGGATAATGGAAAACATGCACAACCGAACATCCTGAGGTGAGTGTAATTGGGTTTGGATTTGTGTAACATTTCAAAGGGAGTTTGATGGTTGGTATTTGGTGACGGAAGACGATTTATAAGGTAAACAGCTGTAAGCACGGCGTCAGGTCAATACATGTACGGTACAGAAGCCGTGTTGAGTAATGTTCAGGTGGTTTCAATAATATGTCAGTGCTTACGTTCGGCCAACCCGTTCTGCTCAGATGTGTACGGACAACAGACCAGATGAACTATACCATTGATATGTAAAAAATATTTTAAATCTTGATTGAGAAATTCAATTCCCCCATCAGAGCGAAAAATTTTAATGGATTGGGAATTGTATTTTTCAATCTGGAATTTGAAATTAACGAAAATATTGTAAACTTCAGATTTATGTTTCATTGGAAAGATCCAAGAAAATCTGGATTAATCATCTACAAACAGTACGTAATACCGATACCCTTGAACCGAAGCAATGGGTGCCGGTCCCCAAACGTCACAGTGAATTAAAGGCAGAATGTTTGAATGCCTACTAGTAGATTTTTCAAACACAATTTTATGTGCTTTAGCTTGCTGACAAGAAGTTCAAGAAAATTTATCTGTTTTTATTCTAAGATACGGATTACATTTAGCTACGGAATTCAGAACACGGTCTTTGGGGTGACCCAACCGGTGATGCCAGGTGGATGTCGGAGCCTTGAACGCAACCAATGCAACATCTGGAGAGGAGGCAGGATTGATCCGAATGGGATAAAGGCCGTTCTCACAGGGCCCTTGAAGCAGCACTTGATGCGTCGTCAGGTCCTTTATCAAGAAACCAGAGGAGTTAAAAGTAATAGAAATGTTGTTTCTTTAGTCAGTTTTGAAATAGAAAGTGATAAGGGGTTTAACATCGTTCAGATAGCAGTTTTGAACGATTGATAGGAGGGTGAAAGGCCATTGAGTATATACAATATGATATCTTCAGTGTCAACGACCGATCCAGACGCCGAAATCTGATCTACAATGTTCTTGATTTCAGAAAGATACTCAGTGACGGTTTGATTCTTGAGAGAAATGTTATGGAGGGAATTTTTAAGCTGGATGACTTTAGATCGATTAGTGGATTGAAACCTAGTTTCTAGGGTAGACCAAATTGCAGCGGTGAAGTCGAGACTAACCACATATGGAAGAATAGGTGTTGAAATCATGGAACAGAGAGCGGCTGCAAGGATTTGATCGGTAAGAAGCCACTTATTAAAGGAAGGATTGGGTGTGGAGAGACCGTCTGCTTGAGATAGAGCAGGAGATGAAGGTGAGTGATTGGAATCAAGAAAGCGTTCAAACCGATTAGCCCGAAGAATCTTGACGATTTGAGCTTTCTAGATCGAGTAGTTGTGTGCAGTGAGTTGCACTGAGACGATTGTCTTCAGATTTGTGACCACGAACTTGAGAGCGGTGGGAATCGCGAGCTCGGGGAGCTTCGTCATATCCGACTGATCGCCGGGATGTGAAGCAGCGGAGGATGTCATCGGGCAGACAGGGAAGACGAACAAGACGGAGAAGGATCTTGCCAAACTCCTGATACCATGAAGATCCTGGTCCAAAACAAGAAGACGGAAAGAATAAAAAGCAAGAAGAGATGATTCATTTCATTTCAAAACAAATGTGTACAGTAATATATAGAGCTGGACAAACCATAATAAAGTAAATAAGCCAATAGTGTACAGCCACGTCAGCTATATAATTAAATATATTGAATATCTTGTTCTAATAGTTTTGCTGTTTTGTTGTTCGTGTTCTCTAATACAAAGGAAACAAACAGAGCCAACAGTAATATTTCGTTTAATGAGAGCATCCACAGTTTTCAACCCACCAACCAAAACAAGCTAGCCTTTTTGAAAAATCTGAGAGCATAATGTTTGTGCCAAACCATAGAATTACATGGTACTAAATTTTCTTCCTTGTAAAAATCTTGAATAAAGACGTGAAACCCACCCACGGTGCCCGAATCCCAAATCAAACAATATTTACTAGCATCAGAGATTATAGAAATAGACCGAATTTTATCTCTGATGGCAACGGGACAAGAATCAGGAAGATTCCAACTGTTAGAATCAATAATAACACCAATACGGACACCAAGGATTGATCCCATAGCAGGGAAAAGGAACTGGACAGCTAGACATTGAAACCAAAACTATTTTTTTGCTTTAATGGCAGAAGAACATATACTTTTCCACATAATTGATGCAGCAGGTGAAGGGTTTTTCCAAGGTGATGAGTAATAGTTAAACATCCAGGAGGAAAGCAAAGATGGAGTATTGTAAATTCTAATAACCAGCGAGCAGTTAGTAACATATCTATGACCATTATAATGCAACATTTAAAGCGGTCAAGGATCGCGAATACTATAGAAATCTCGTTACCTTCGCGGCTAGCTCCGACGCGACTTCTGAACCGACAACAAACGAAGAAGCGCGTACCTTGGCGGCGAGCTCCGGGCGCGATTTCCGTTCCAACAAGCAACTTGGAGGTGGCGGAAAAGAAAGACAGCGCGTAGAAGAAATGGCTAGAAGAGAAAGAATCCAGAAATAATTAGGAGTGTAATATTTAAGAATTAAATGTTAAATATGTAATACACAAATTATAAAGTGGTAGAAGAAATGGCGGATAAGCCTTTACAAAACTCTCTTCCACCAATCCCCGGTGTGGTAGAGAACTGTCATCCTTTTATACCCTCGAAGTGTAGGCAGAGAACCCTCGTCCTTTCACACCCTCTTAGTGTAGGTAGAGAGCCAGTATCCTTTCACACCCTCCAAGTGTCGGCAGAGAACTGTCATCCTTTTATACCCTCTAAGTGTCGACAGAGAACCATCTGCTGTTCACACTCTCCAAGTGTCGGCAAAGAATTATCGGCTATTTACACTCTCTAAGTGTCGACAGAGAACTGTCGACTATTCACACTCTCCAATTATCGGCAGAGAACCGTCGGCTGTTCACACTCTCTAAGTGTCGGCAGAGAAACATCGGCTGTTCACACTCTCAGAGTGACGGCAAAGAATCAGATCTTTTTTAGTGATCCTCTCATGAGCAAATTAGAAAGACTAGAGGAAGAGTGAAAAGTACATATCACACGTAGAGATCCTTACCTTTGAGTAATATTGTGAACTCTTCACACTCCACTAGTAAAAAATCTCACTCAAACACTCTCTCTCACTCTCTCCTTCAATTGCCCTTTATAATTCACGAAGATAAGACTAGAAAAAGATTAAGTGT